TTGGATTATATATTTCTATTGAATCCAAAGCATCAGATTCTTTATTTTTTCCTCCAATAATATATAATAATCCATTTAGAGCAAATATTCCTATATTAAAAATAAATGATTAAAATAAAATACAGCTATAAAAAATTTTAGTTCAAATTATAATAATAATTATTCACCCGCATTAGCCCGACACTCATGCATATCAGCTACAGAAGTCCAATAACCATCACTTAGTTTATAAGCCTCAACACTATTGAGAATTCCGAGGTCATTTTCACCACCAACAGCATATATTACATTGTCCAAGACTTCTACACTAACATCTGAACGATATGCAGACATTTCTGCAACTATTGTCCATTTATCAAGTGTAGGATCATAACATTCTACAGATTTCAAATAAGTGGAACCGTTATAACCTCCTACCTACAGAATTAAATTGAACGAGGTTTAGTATAAATTTAAATGAAAAAATTAAAATATTTATTTACCGCATACAAACGATTATTGAGTACTGCAGTACTGAAATAACTTCTTTCAGTTGTCATACTGGAAATCATTCGCCATTCTTGAATATTGATATTAAAAACCTCCGCACTCTGTAAATTATTTTCTGATTCATCATCATATCCGCCAACCTAATAATCAATAAAATATAGATTTATAACATAAAAAGAAAAACATTGGTATAACTTACAGCATATATACAATCATTTAATACAGCAACTGCCAACCATTTTCGATTAACTAACATGTTAACTGTTGGTACCCAAATTGGCGATAATGAAAATAAATCAAGCATTTCAACAGATCGAGAATTACTAATATAAACACCACCCACAGCAAAAAGGAATTGATTATTTATTATGGACAGACGAGCTGAATTACGGCATACAGTCATTTCAGGTGCAATCTCCCATTGATCAGTTGTTGGGTCATACCAGTTTGTTAACATCTTATTTATTGTTTCAGACCAACTTAAAACTAGAACAATCTGAAAGAAATAAWTGTATAAAAAAAATGATCTAGATACGTTAATTAGATAAATTCATAAGGGAGTTTTACATTTTTTAAACCAGCAGGCTCTCTAGAACAACAAATTGTTTGTGGAATTGTAATATCTGGTTTTAATTTATACAGATGGAAATGTAAAGCTTTAATTAAATAATCTTTGCCTAAAAAATATTATAATTATATGAAATTCATAGTAAAGGATAATAAAAACACATACATTCAATGCTATTTTTAAAGAGAGGTTCTTCAACTACATTTTTTAATAAGTACTCCAGGGYAACTAATGACAAACGCACATGTTCCACTAATTTTGGTAATAAATCTTTTCTAGAATCCAATTTGTGATTTACCCAATTAATAATACATTCAAACATCTAAAACAACGAATAGATACAATAAAATTCAAATATTACAATATTTAATTAGACCTWTAAGATATTAGGGAATAATCGAATTTTTGTGGGTCCAGGTCATTCTAGAATCTCAGGCAACGAAACATTCTCGCCAATTGCCCATCACTCTCTAGTTCCCGATCAAAATAATTTCACTTTATACATAAAAACAATATTATGTCATRTGAACCAACAATTATTCTTAATTCCTTTTCAAGATCCATTATTATTATCATATTGAAGTTTTTCGAAAATGCTGGATTCTTAATTTGATTTTGTTTTTTTAAATTTATTCAACAGTTTTTTTACTTTTTTTTTTCTTTTTATTATTTTAGATTTAAGTCATTTTCAACAACCTTACTAGTCATAATTATATTTTTAAATTTTTTTTTTAAGCACTGATTTGTTTATTTTTATTTTTATTTTTCTCATCCATTCACTTGTTATTCGATAATGTATATTTATATGTAACTGTTAAGCTATAATAATTTTATATTGGTAGCTTTTAAACAAAAAAAAGATATTAAGGCGGTGAGKGGGAGCTTAAACTATTTTTGTCCTAACTATTTTAATATGTATATGTTATACCATCAAACAAAAATTATTTAATTGCTTTCATAAAAATTCAAAGAATGTTTTGCAATKTTTAATCACTTAATCCTTTTTATTGTGAATAATAGGATTTTATAACAGTTTTTGGTTTCCATCACTTTATAGCAAACTAAGAAATATATATATTATATGAAATATAAATTCATAATAAAAGAATATTTACAAAGAATCATACAGTGGCGGATCYAGCCCGAGATTATGGGGGGTAGGGCGAATATTTCACATACAAAATAAAATATCTAATAAAATATAATATGTGGGCAAGCGCTCATATACTCGTATAATCATAAGATGCCTATACAAATTGACAATTGTTGACTACCCGTCGACCACGGCACTCAACGTGTTAAAATTAGTTTTGATTCTTTTTACAAGGCATTTTTCCTAAACAAAACACAGCTTACAAGGGGGGCGCCCTGATTCTACGCCTGGAATCATATACATGTATAACTATATTTAATGAAAGGTTCCTAAACTACTTTTTTTAATATGTACTTTATTGAAGGTTTGGATTCGCTGCATTATTAAATAATATGAGATGGGCAATTGATTTAATGTGTAATAAAATAATAGCCTACATATTTAATCACTACCTACTRTGTTTGGCATGGCATAAACAATTAGTTTTTGCAGTCACATTTTGGATCAAATAATTATCTGTTTGAAATCCCCTATAAAGAATTGTTATATTTTTATAGATTAAAATATGATCA